GCCAGGCCAACGAGTCCCATTTTGGCAGCCGAATAGTTGCCCTGTCCAAAGTTACCAAAGATGCCCGAGTTCGAGGAGGTCATGATGATGCGGCCAAAGTTCTGGCTCTTCATGTGCCCAAAGGCAGCTTGAGTGCACTTGAAGCTGCCCTTTAGGTGCACATCGTTGACCAGGTTCCAGTCCTGTTCGGAGGTTTTCAGCAGGCTACGATCCCGCAGAATGCCGGCATTATTGATCAGTATATCCACTCGGCCGTACGCCTTGATGGCCGTCTCAATGACCTTTGCCCCATCGATGACGGAATTGTAATCGGCCACCGCCTCACCGCCACTCTTGCGTATCTCTTCGACGACCACATCAGCGGCACGCTGTGAGGCCCCCTCACCGGAATGAGTGCCGCCCAGGTCGTTGACCACCACCTTGGCGCCGCGCGAGGCCAACAGGAGGGCATACTCCCGGCCCAGGCCGGCACCGGCACCAGTCACCACCGCCACACGGCCATCGAAACGCAGTTTGCCAGCAGAAGACATGTTTTCTGGTTAATTTTCTTTCTCTCTGTGGTAATCCGGTTACGCCTGCTCCAACGTTCAACTGTCCAATGAAAAAAGAAAGGTATTCAGGGTTGAATTATTAGCAACAGAGCGGTGGAGGTGTGTGGGGAACATCTGGTCAAAGTGTGTCCTGATAATGATATCTTCAGTTATATGTACATATGTATGTGCATACAGAACGAAAATGTGCAAGTTTTGGGGGCAGCAATTAACCGAAAGACAATTTGGTTTGGTCCAAGTCCAGGTCCAACAACAGCTCAGAGTTCAATCAAACGAACAACACAAAATGGTACAAAGCAAAACAGACAACAAATTGTTTTTGCAACCACACAAACACACACACAAACAATCAATTCATACACAGTATGTGCATATGTGGAATAGCGCAAGAGCCGCTACCTACTTACACACGACTTACAGCTCTTTTAGACTGCACGTTAAAGTTTCTGCTCGGATGCGATGCCTTAACTTAACGCGAAAGATTAGCCGCTCCAATATCGCAGGTACAAAGTGCAACAAATTGATAAGCTGCAGAAACTTACTTTTGCTTTGCTGTGGAAGGGGTTGTTGACTGCGAGCAGAATAATTCGGTGTTGCCTGATCGATGGGGAAAACATATAACAGCTGTCAGATGGATTGAAATTGTAAAACTATCGAGTAATGCATATATCGTCGGCCGTAAATGCAGTGCGATAAATATATAAGAATGCCAACCAAGGGTGAATAAAGAGCTCAGATTTTATTATAATAATACTTTTAAAGTTAATATTGCTAAAACATTTAAGGCGTGTCCTTAAACTTCAAGAAACCGCCGTGCTGTTTCTGTGTCAACTTTTCCAATTAGCGCCATACTTGATTTTTTGTATTTTATCGATATATCTATCGATTCTTAAACGAACCGCGAAAATACTCAAAACAAAAAATTGCATGTTCTCATGCAGTGAGATATCTGCACATATTATGCCAATTTTCGACGTGGCGATTTCCACCTTGTAAAGGCGGGCGGCCAAATAAATTATTTAAATTTAAAATATTTAATTGAAATTTATTTGTTGGACAAATTGCAGACTCTGGGACGTGCAAAACGAGAACAATTGCATTCGAGTGTGCCGTGGTCATATGTCGCACGTTAACTCTGTTAAATTCTCACCGGACGGACTGTGGATTGCTTCCGCTGGCCTGGAGGGATCCATTCTCATCTGGGACATACGCAAGAGCAAACAGATTATGGAATTTATAGCCGAGCCACCAGTCACGGCCATCACGTGCATACAGTTCCATCCCTTTGAGTTTCTGCTCGCCGCAGGACGCATCGATGGCACTGTGTCCATCTATGATCTGGAGCATAAGCAGCTAGTATCGCAGACCACACATTTCTATGGCCAGGCCATCAGATGCATTACGTTCAGTGACAATGGAGAATGCCTCTTTGTGGGCAGTGTTTCAGGCATCTCTGTGATTGGCTGGGAGCCCGATCGCGAGCTGGATCACATAAAGGGCAGCTGGTCCTCGCTGGGTGACATGAAAGTTGTCAACAATAAGCTGGTAAGTGTCCATCTGTCCCAGCAGCAGCCTGTTTTCTACCACTGATCCCTCAATTTTGTTTGCAGATCTGTGGTTGTCATGAAATCGATGCTGTGTCTATTAATACCATAAGTCTCGACCGTGTGATACCGTTCTACCAGCCGCCGAATACCCTGCCCAACTTCAAGCACAACTCGACGAACCGAAAGAGTTTTACGCGCGGCAATCAAAAGTTTCGCCTGTCTCTCGGCGGCTCCAAGCCAGCCCAGGTCAAAGAGGAGCAGGAGCAGGAGCAGGAGCATGACAATAAAATTCAGAACTTCGATGATCTATCATCGCCCAATCTGAGTCTCGAAGTTGTGAGCGAGGCCGTGCTGGAGTCGACAGAATCATCGCCCATGTCGTCGCTGCATCAGGCTGGTATTTTGGCTCCTGGCGAGCATGTGCATCCGTACAGCGTGGCCATTGATCCACAGCTGCGGCACACCAAATTCTCACGCCTGCCCGACAACATGATCTACTCAACCTACACCAGCTACAATGGCATGGATGTGGGTGGCTCCAGTCGCCCATTGCCGCTGAATGGCCCCAGCTCGCTGCACACGGTGGAGAATTATAACAATATTTATCCGCTGAAGAAGGAGGAGGCGGAGGAGCAGAACGAGGACGCCGACGCCGACGCCGACGCGGATGTGCAGCATGTGGAGTACAATCTGAATGAGAGCAATGCGCCAATTCTCTCCAATTATGATAACTACGAGATGGCCGAGGATTTTCCAGTCAATCAGAACTTGAACTATTTGGTAAATAGCTATAAGGCAGTGGTGCCGCCCGCATCCTCTACAATAAATGCCTCGTCCAAGTCGATCAAGAAAACGACTACCAATCTGCACAAGCGCGGCACGGGCATCAGCAACACCAAACAGACATCGACGGCGATTTTTGGCAGCAATAAGCTGAGCCAAGTGGCGTCGGTTAGTTCGATGGAGCTGCACAAGATGGACGATAATATGATACTCAAGAAGTCATCCTCCTCGAATGTGGTCAACAAGAACAAGCGGTCGATGGTTGGGGCGACCGCTCAGAGCCAGTACTACAAGGAGAATAGCCAACAGAAGAACATCAATGTGGAGATAATCACGAAGCCGCCAATGAGGTCACGCACCACCCTAGATATGCGTATAACGCATCAAAATAAAACTCAGGAAAAGCATACACACGTAAGTACATGCCACACAGGGGTTGCCATTGATTGAGTGATTGATTGTTTTCATCTTGCAGCAGCCACTTAGCAATCAACGCATCATTTCTGATTATCATCAGGATTTTGATTCCCTGTCAAGGTCACACGAGGCTGTGCTGCAGGAGTTGTGCAATCGCCAGACCAGCCTGGAGCTGCTAAGACTCTCAACAAGGTGAGCAGAATATACTGAATACAAATAGTCAAAGTATTTCCAATCTGATGACATGTTGGCACTGCCCAAATAGATCGCATGATGTACTGGGCGCCCTGAAGCAAGCTAGGAATACCGGACGCTCCATCTTTATAGACCTACTGGGCGCCATTCTTGAGAAACCGTGAGCAGAATAATAGATTTATCTGAACGTTTTCCAATATTAATGCTTGTTTTGTGCAGGTCCTCGTGGAACTTGGATTTCTGCGTATTCGTTTTGCCAGAGATATTTGAACTGTTGCAAAGTCAACACAAGTTGTAAGTGCCACGGAATGGGATATTGAATCTAATGGCTATAAAATAATTATCAATTGTTATTTGACAGCCACTTTACCAGAGCCTGTGATACGTTGCGTATCATATTGTCAAACTTCTTGCCAACCATACAGGATAACCTCGACCCCTGGGCGGCCAATGGCCTGGGCGTGGATGTGACGCGGGAGGATCGTCAGCGGAAATGCGCCGAATGTCAGCGTTGGCTGTTGCAGATCAAGAATCTGCCCGAAAGTGTTCACTTTGGGGGCACGCTGTCACAATTGCAGAACATAATTATTTTTTAAACATTCAACATTTCATGCATGTCTGTAGACTGTCAATTGTCCACGGTCCACGGGGTTCAGATTAGATCGAGGCTATTGAACGATTCAATTCACCCACTGTGCAGGAACGTACCGCTTCCTTTATTATTATTACTTTTTTAACTTTTTTTTTGTTTTTGCTCTTGGGAGGAGTGGCCTCACTTGTCGCTCTAAGCTGCCAAAAAAAAAAACAAAACAAAACAAAACAAAAACTATTCGGGGGCAGCGACAGCTGCTCGGTAGCAAGAGCTCTACCGGAAGAACCCTGTTTGCCCAGCATTAACAAATACAAAACACCCTTAGTCATTAAATGATTTACACTATTAATTCGATTGCAAACTAATTTATATAACTATCATTTACACATACCACCTAAGCCTTATAAATTTCGAAAGTGTGCAAACAAAAACACCCAATAAAACTGTGTATTTTTTCTTCAAAAGGGAACTTTGGGGCATTTAATGTAGGAGTTCTAGCCGAAATTATGTTGTAAAGATGGAAGAACTGCCCCCAAACGACTCCGAGCGTATTATAATATTTACTTATGTGCCCTATGCTTTTTAGTAAAACAATAGAATTTATTTTCCTCTTCTGTTGCTCGCGCTCGTTTTCAATCATTTTAAATGTTATTGGTTAACGATTTAAATGAAAAATTCAAATACAAATTTGTAAAATATAAGGTCATAAGGTATAAAATCCAATAAAAAGTAGTATTTAAAAAAATCAAAATTGATTCTTCAAACGGATTAAGCTATTTTTTTAGTGCTGAAAGTCTTTGCAAGCTAGTAATATCAAATAGAACAGCAAAATCGAGGAATATGATTTAAGAATACGGTATGTTTGCAGTATATGTCGGTATATTTCGGATGTCAGGCGGTATTTCTTATCGATATTTCCGCGGTCGCATCTGCCGACAAGAAACGTATACTGCCGACTCCATAAGTAAAACTAATTAAATGTTGGATTTAACAAATCGATGACCATTTCCAACGCAGTTGATAAGTTTACAATGATGTCTGGAGACCGGGTAAAGATAAAAGATCTGCTGAGTAGTCGGCTCACCGAGTGCGGATGGCGAGACGAGGTGCGGCTGCTGTGCCGCAGCATTCTGCAGGAGAAGGGAGCCATCAGTAGCTTCACCGTGGAGCAGCTGGTGACGGAGGTGACGCCCAGGGCTCGCTCCCTTGTTCCCGATGCCGTAAAAAAGGAGCTCCTAATCAAGATTCGAACCATTTTCGACGAGAACGAGGCCGACGACATGGATCCCGAGGAGGCTTGACATCAAGTGCTAATGATATTCCCCTCATGCAAATCCCCTAGGAACTATTTTCAATTATAGAATTTTATTTTTTAATTTTATACAGTAATTATATATATATGTATACACAACACACACACTCGCGCACAAGCAGACACACTTTAATCCATCACCCGGGCTACAGATGGGGGGCGGGCCACGGAGCGGAATGTTTTCAGTCGAGCGTGGGGGATGCGGAGCTGTTGCTCAGCAGCTCAAAGCTCTCGCCAACGGATGGATCATCCATTAAGTTAACGACCGTTCCCGGAAGATTCACCCCAGCAGTAGCCACGGCAGCAGCAGCCTCAGCCGTAGTGCCGGAACCCAAGGCGGCACTGCTCGTGGGCTGGGAATACTTGCGCACCCAGTCATTTGGATGCATCTTCTTCTTGTGGTTGTGCATGTTGGCGTGGGACTTGAATGTGCGACTGCAGAACTGACACGAGTACAGATCGATTCCGGTGTGCGTGGCCATATGCTCCTACGGAAGGGATTCGATAAAAGGATTAAGTGCAGGGAGTACAGCGTACAGTGGTAAGTACTACTCACAACCAGGGCGCGCGGCAGTTTGAATTCCTTGTCGCAGAGGCTGCACTTGTGCCGCTTGGCGGAGTGATGGTATCTCATGTGGCCGCTGAGTGCGGCACGAGAGGACTTCTCTGCGTTGCACAGCGAACAACGATACTTGTTCTGATTGTCGCGATCGTCGTGACGGGCCAGATGCTTCCGGAGACTCCGCTCGTCCCGCAGCCAGCGGCCGCACAGGTTACACTGTACCTCCGCCACGGGGCCATCCGGATGCAGTGCCTTCTTGTGGATGAGAAAGTTGGCCTTCGAACGGAAATTTGTGCCACATATGTCACAGATAATCGGGGTGAAGTCCGCCGCGTGCATTCGCTTCTCGTGGGCGCTCAGCTCAAATTTGGTGCGGAATCTGTAATGATTGAAATGGATTAAACGATGGCCTATGTGGGAGGCCATGCACGTCTCACGTCTTGCCACAGGTGTCGCAGACCTCGGGACGCTCGGTGCCCTTGTGCCCCTTCAGATGCATGGTCAGGAGGAACTTCTTGGCGAACCGTGCCTGGCATATTGCGCACTGATGCACCAGCTCCTGCTGCTCGGAGTGAAAGCGCAGCATGTGCATCACCTGGCTGTTGCGATTGAGGAAGTTTTTGCGACACGGCTTGCAGCTGAAGTATGTCGGATCCTTGTGGCAGTTCAGATGATCCACATATAGCGTACGCTTCTTGTACCGATTGTTGCAGCACTTCACGTAGCCCAGGACATTGTGCTCCACCCGAAAGTGTCGCTTCAGATCGTTAAAGTCCGCAAGGGGTGCCGCGCACAGGCAACAATCTAGCTTCACATGGGCAGCTATAAATTCGTCCATCTCCTTGATGCTGTTACGCTTCACATTGGGTTCTGTGTCAGTTGCCACCTCAATGGCTGGACGTTTTTTCTTGGCGGGTCTTTTGGTCTTGGGACGGCCCCGTGTCGTTCCGCTGGCTCGGATCGGCACGCAGGGAGCATTGTCCAGCGGAGTCGAGTCGTTGCCTGATGGCACAGGCTCTGGTTTTTGTCTAAGCTCGCGGGCACGTGCTCGAGATTCGCGTAGTGAGAGCCCAGCGAGGGCCTCCCTCGTCTTCTTGTTCTGTTTGTGCTTCTCGTATTTCCTTTTTATGAGCTGGGTTTCCTTTTGTAGATTTTTACGGGGCCTGCCTCTAGGTCGAGTAGGCTTCACAGGATCTGGCTCGATTGCGCTGGGCTCGAATTCCGACTGAAATCGATCGCCATCATCACTGTCCTCATCTTTGGGGGCAAATGCATCGATGACGGGCTCGCACAAAATGTAATCCTTAACATCATCGCCATCGAAGTTGATCTTCGTCTCGATGGGCGACTCCGTATTCCACACGATAAGACCCGGTTCCGGCTCGGGGTCTGAGAATTCGACCTTAAGTTGCAAGGTGCGCTGCTTGTCCGCCACCATGGCGCAAAACTGTTCGAAGCTGGACAGCTGCTGCCAGCATGTGGCGCACAGGCAAGTGGACACCGCATCATTGGCCGCGAGCTGAGGATTGAGCGTTGCATTGCATTTTAATGCTTCAAACAATAAAACCAACCCAACACTCACCACCAGCTGAAGATGCTTTTCTATCAGTCCCGCCAGCTGGCGCATAGTTTGATGACCTGGCCCTCCATCCTCATCAAAGATGGGCACAATGATCTCTGTATCCTCCAGGCAGAGTCGGCATATCATCATCTCATTCGAATATAAAAACCAAAAACTATAAACCAAACCCGTTTAAATACGTGACAGCAGCTGTTTACAGCAGTGTAACCGAGGTTTTATCGATCAAAAATACCGCTGCCTGAGCAGAATGGCTCTAAATTAAAAAATAAAGCTAGACTCTACTAATTTAGAGATTAACTAATAGAGATTGATATCTATGTTGTCAATGACGGGCAGTTGGCGTTGGCGGGCTGCAGGCTTCGGCGGCAATTCGGGTTTAGTTATTTTAGTATTTATTGTGGTAGTATTTCCCTAAACTTCGCCATGGTTCACAACTTTGGGATGTAAATTTGAAAGTAGTTTGACAAAAAACATCGGTGATATCGATATTTCAATCGATGCTTCTACAGCATTGTACAGCACTCTTTTCTTATTCTAAGCGCCGCGCAAAATTTTCTTCCAATCATTTTTACCCAATAACTTCACTAAAATGAACCCAATAACTACTGATAATGTCCCACATGAGCTGGGCGATGACATTTCGGATATTGATATGGAAGAGGTTCCGGCCCAACTGGAAAAGACTTTGAAGCCGACAGTCCATGAGACCAAGAGCCTTTTCAACATCAGCATTAAAGAACGTAAGCGGCCTGGCCGGCTTTTCACACAATCATCTTTTTACTTTACTTTATTCTGCTGTTTTGCGTTTTAAACTCCAGTTTGGGACTCTACCAATAGTGATGAGGAAGTGGAGGAGTACAAGACGGACATCAATATCAAACAGAAGAAGTTTGTGGACTATATAATTGCAGAACACAAAAAGAGCGAGGAATCTCTAAAAGAATACGAGGCTACCCTCGTAGACTTGCACCCGAGCTGTGAGATCAAGCCGAGTGTAGAGCAGCAAGTCTTTCTGGACCAGTCTCCCGACATCCAGAACTTTATACGCGGACACCTGGAATTCCGTAATAGGTGCGAGGCGTTCTGGGTGAAGCACGAGCAAATGAAGGAGTTGCAAGCCCGCATAGTGGAGCGCTTCCAGCTGCTCTTAAACCAAATTGCGCTGAACGCTATAAACCAAAATTTGGCCAATGAACCCAAGAAGCCAGCAAAACAAGGTTAGTTTTAAAATGTATTCTTAGTTATTAAAAAGAGAAATAAACGAAACGATATGTAGAAGAAATAAAAACACTGGCTAACAAAATGGCTGCGTAGCTTCAAAAATATGAATTAATTCTAATTAATGTGAGTTGCTGTTGGTGTATTGCTTATTCCTTGGCCCAGGATCCCAAGTATTTCATCAGGTCCGTAAGACTTTCGAAGTCGGTGCGACTGGCGGGTGGCTCGTCTTTGGTGATGCGCGGCAATGCATTGCCCATCTTCATGCGAAACTCTTGAAACTTGAATGAGAGAATGTCGTTTATATATAGCGAGTACTGTGCGAGTTTGTTATTGGATTTTTCATGGTGCTTACGTCTTTGGCTCCGCTTAGCTTCCAAAATCCATAGCAGAATGCTCCCGTGCCCAAAACGGCATAGAGAGTTCCCCAGCCAAGGGCTCGTAGGGCCAGTGTCGCGCCCTCGTCCATCAGTATTATACCCTGGCGAGTTCCCTGTTGCTGTAACACCTTGCTGTCTGCTTTCTTGGCTGTGGCCAGCGTGCGCGAGAAGCCAAAGAGTGCGGAAATTCCGCCGACTAGTCCTAAAAAAGCAGCGCCTGCATATAAAAAGAATAACCTTTGTCACAAAGCCAATGGAACAAGGATATCTGGGCTGAAAAGCGCTCACCCTGTATGCGAAACTTTCGTTCTTTATCCGCCGTCACTGCATCTGCATTGGCGCCGGCTTCGTTCATCGCTTGCTTAGTTTTTAATTTATTTTGTTTTATTTATTTGTCGTAATGGGTTCATATATTGATACCGATATGGATATTCATACATCGATATATATTTGTTGCTGATGGTATGAATGCCTTTGCGGGATAAATATCATAAGAAGAGAATAAAGGTTTCTTTTATAAAGGAAGTCATGAAAACTAGCCGAAAGTGTAGAGAATTGATTCATTAATCGGATACAACTATAGTTATAGTTTAATATGAAATATATTATCAAAATTGTCTTAAAAGATAAACTGTTTGGTATATTTTGAACGTGATTGTGTATATTTTAGTATTTTTTCGAGGGTCAGGCGGTTTATTAAATCGAAAAATGAGCGGTCACACTAACCATCACGGAAAACGCGGACACCGTGCGCAAAATAAAGCGAAGAAAATTGGTGCAAGCGGCCTAAAACGTACATATAAAATGCAATAGCCAGTAAAAAATTTAGCAGCCACTAATGGTCTTTCCCCCACTGTTTGTTTCCAAAGTGCGCCATTCTTTGTATCCCTCGTGATCAAACCCGATTTCTGCCCATCGATTGGCAGTGGGAGAAAAAGAAAAAGTCTGACGACGACGCGCAGCAGCCCACTGCTGGAACACTCGCAGCCCAGCCTGGCCCAATCTTTTACCCAGTGGCCACAATGAGCACCACCACTGACTCCAAGGCGCCCCTGAGGCAGGTGAAGCGAGTACAGTTTGGAATTTTATCACCTGATGAAATTGTAAGTGCATTTCCTTCAAATGTCTGCGACGCCATATTGAAAAATGATCAAATTTCCAAAAAGTCATCAAACACCAAATGCAAAAATGCAAAAATAATATTTTGTTACGAATTGATGAGCTGGGAAATATGGAAGGGGGGGGGGCAGAATTGTTTTTTATATTGTTAATGCCAAAAATCTATATTATTTTATTTTATATTATTTAAGGTGGGGGGAGGGAGGGGAGCTTATGAGGTGTCATCCGTCTCCCATCTGCCAGAATGTATCGTATTATCTTTCATTATTCCCTTTCGACGTGTTCCAGCGCCGTATGTCCGTTACCGAGGGTGGCGTCCAGTTCGCCGAGACGATGGAGGGAGGCCGACCAAAGTTGGGTGGCCTCATGGATCCCCGACAGGGTGTGATTGACAGGACATCGCGATGTCAGACGTGCGCCGGCAACATGACCGAGTGTCCGGGCCACTTTGGACACATCGACTTGGCCAAGCCGGTTTTCCACATTGGCTTCATCACGAAGACTATCAAGATCCTGCGCTGCGTTTGCTTTTACTGCTCAAAGATGCTCGTCTCGCCGCACAATCCGAAAATCAAGGAGATTGTGGTGAAGTCGAAGGGTCAGCCGCGGAAGCGTCTGGCCTATGTGTATGATCTGTGCAAGGGCAAGACTATTTGCGAGGGCGGCGAGGACATGGATCTGACCAAGGACAACCAACAGCCGGATCCGAACAAGAAGCCTGGCCACGGCGGTTGTGGCCACTACCAGCCCTCGATCCGACGGACTGGCCTAGACTTGTCCGCCGAGTGGAAGCATCCCAACGAGGATTCGCAGGAGAAGAAGATTGTCGTTTCGGCGGAGCGTGTGTGGGAGATCTTGAAGCACATAACCGACGAAGAGTGCTTCATTCTGGGCATGGACCCGAAATACGCCCGTCCCGACTGGATGATTGTCACCGTACTGCCCGTTCCACCACTGGCCGTGCGTCCGGCTGTTGTCATGTTCGGAGCGGCAAAGAATCAGGACGATTTGACCCACAAGCTGTCGGACATCATCAAGGCCAACAATGAGCTGCGCAAGAATGAGGCAAGTGGTGCAGCGGCCCACGTTATACAGGAGAACATCAAGATGCTGCAGTTCCATGTGGCCACGCTGGTGGACAACGATATGCCCGGCATGCCCAGGGCCATGCAGAAGTCGGGCAAGCCCCTGAAGGCGATTAAGGCGCGTCTGAAGGGTAAGGAGGGTCGCATTCGTGGCAACTTGATGGGCAAACGTGTGGACTTCTCAGCGCGTACTGTCATCACACCCGATCCCAATTTGCGCATCGATCAGGTCGGTGTGCCGCGTTCAATAGCCCAGAACTTGACCTTCCCCGAGCTGGTCACTCCATTCAATATCGATCGCATGCAGGAGCTGGTGCGTCGCGGCAACTCGCAATATCCGGGCGCCAAGTACATTGTCCGAGACAATGGGGAGCGCATCGATTTGCGATTCCATCCGAAATCGTCGGATCTCCATTTGCAGTGCGGCTACAAGGTGGAGAGGCATCTGCGTGACGATGATCTTGTGATCTTCAATCGCCAGCCCACGCTCCATAAGATGAGTATGATGGGGCATCGTGTGAAGGTGCTGCCCTGGTCCACGTTCCGCATGAACCTCTCCTGCACATCGCCCTACAATGCCGATTTCGATGGCGACGAGATGAACCTCCATGTGCCGCAGTCCATGGAGACGCGCGCCGAGGTGGAGAACATTCACATCACACCGCGACAGATAATCACGCCGCAGGCAAACAAGCCGGTCATGGGCATTGTGCAGGACACCCTCACCGCCGTGCGAAAGATGACCAAGCGTGATGTGTTCATCACACGCGAACAGGTGATGAATCTGCTGATGTTTCTGCCCACGTGGGATGGCAAAATGCCACAGCCGTGCATCCTCAAGCCACGGCCCCTGTGGACGGGCAAGCAGATATTCTCATTGATCATACCCGGCAATGTGAACATGATACGCACCCATTCGACGCATCCCGATGAGGAGGATGATGGCCCCTACAAGTGGATATCGCCCGGCGACACCAAGGTAATGGTGGAGCACGGCGACCTCATCATGGGCATACTCTGCAAGAAGACGCTGGGCACATCGGCGGGCTCACTGCTGCACATCTGTTTCCTGGAGCTGGGCCACGAGATAGCCGGACGCTTCTACGGCAACATTCAGACGGTGATCAACAATTGGCTGCTGCTCGAGGGTCACAGCATTGGTATTGGCGACACCATTGCCGATCCGCAGACCTATAATGAAATTCAGATGGCCATCAAGAAGGCCAAGGATGATGTCATCAATGTTATCCAGAAGGCCCACAACATGGAGCTGGAGCCGACGCCCGGTAATACGCTTCGTCAGACCTTTGAGAACAAGGTGAATCGAATTCTGAACGATGCTCGTGACAAGACTGGTGGCTCAGCCAAGAAATCCCTCACTGAATATAACAATCTAAAGGCCATGGTGGTGTCCGGCTCCAAGGGATCCAACATTAACATCTCTCAGGTACAGTCTCGAGCATAAATCAGCTCCTTGGAAGTCGTCGCCTAATCGCTGTTTCTTTCTTTCTGTACCCAGGTTATTGCTTGCGTGGGACAACAGAATGTGGAGGGTAAGCGTATCCCTTATGGTTTCCGTAAGCGCACTCTGCCGCATTTCATTAAGGACGATTATGGTCCCGAGTCGCGTGGCTTTGTGGAGAATTCATATCTGGCCGGACTGACACCATCAGAGTTCTACTTCCATGCTATGGGCGGTCGTGAGGGTCTCATTGATACGGCGGTGAAAACAGCCGAAACTGGCTACATCCAGCGACGTCTGATCAAGGCCATGGAGTCGGTGATGGTCAATTATGATGGCACCGTGCGTAACTCGGTGGGCCAGCTGATCCAGCTGCGTTACGGTGAGGATGGCCTCTGCGGCGAGCTGGTTGAGTTCCAGAACATGCCCACCGTGAAGCTCTCGAACAAGGCGTTCGAGAAGCGCTTCAAGTTCGATTGGTCGAACGAGCGCTACATGCGCAAGGTCTTCACCGATGAGGTGATCAAAGAGATGACCGATAGCAGCGAGGCCATACAGGATCTCGAATCGGAGTGGGATCATCTGATGCACGATCGCGATAACTTGCGAGTTATCTTCCCCAATGGTGATTCGAAGGTGGTGCTGCCGTGCAATCTGCAGCGCATGATTTGGAACGTACAGAAGATATTCCACATTAACAAGCGACTGCCCACAGACCTCTCGCCCATGCGGGTGATCAAGGGCGTGAAGACACTGCTGGAGCGTTGCGTGATTGTGACGGGCGCTGATCGCATATCGAAGCAGGCGAACGAGAATGCCACATTGCTGTTTCAGTGCCTCATTCGGTCGACGCTGTGCACGAAATATGTGTCCGAGGAGTTTCGCCTGTCGACGGAGGCCTTTGAGTGGCTGATCGGTGAGATTGAGACACGCTTCCAGCAGGCCCAGGCGAATCCTGGCGAGATGGTTGGCGCTTTGGCCGCTCAGAGTTTGGGCGAACCGGCCACACAGATGACACTCAATACGTTCCATTTTGCTGGTGTGTCCTCGAAGAACGTGACACTGGGTGTGCCCAGGCTCAAGGAGATCATCAACATCTCGAAAAAGCCTAAGGCCCCATCTCTGACGGTATTTCTGACAGGCGGCGCCGCCCGTGATGCCGAGAAGGCCAAGAATGTGCTGTGCCGCCTTGAGCACACGACTCTGCGCAAGGTGACGGCCAATACGGCCATCTATTACGATCCGGATCCACAGCGAACGGTTATATCGGAGGATCAGGAGTTTGTCAATGTCTACTATGAGATGCCCGACTTTGATCCGACCCGAATCTCGCCCTGGTTGCTGCGCATCGAGCTCGACCGCAAACGGATGACGGACAAGAAGCTGACCATGGAGCAGATTGCCGAGAAGATCAATGTGGGCTTTGGCGAAGATCTCAATTGCATCTTCAACGATGACAATGCGGACAAGCTGGTGCTGCGCATTCGGATCATGAACAACGAGGAGAATAAGTTCCAGGACGAGGACGAGGCCGTCGATAAGATGGAGGATGATATGTTCTTGCGCTGCATCGAGGCCAATATGCTGTCGGACATGACGCTGCAGGGCATCGAGGCCATTGGCAAGGTCTACATGCATTTGCCGCAAACGGACAGCAAGAAGCGAATTGTCATCACCGAAACGGGCGAGTTCAAGGCCATCGGCGAGTGGCTGCTCGAGACGGACGGCACATCGATGATGAAGGTCCTCTCCGAGCGGGACGTTGACCCCATACGCACCTCCTCCAATGACATTTGCGAGATCTTCCAGGTGCTGGGCATCGAGGCGGTGCGAAAGTCTGTCGAGAAGGAGATGAACGCGGTGCTGCAGTTCTACGGCCTGTACGTGAACTACCGCCATTTGGCTCTGTTGTGCGATGTGATGACCGCCAAGGGCCATCTGATGGCCATCACACGTCACGGCATCAACAGGCAGGATACCGGCGCCCTTATGCGCTGCTCCTTCGAAGAGACGGTGGACGTGCTCATGGATGCGGCTGCCCATGCGGAAACGGATCCCATGCGGGGTGTATCCGAGAACATAATCATGGGACAGCTGCCCAAGATGGGCACCGGCTGCTTCGATCTGTTGCTGGATGCCGAGAAGTGTCGCTTCGGCATTGAGATACCCAATACCCTGGGCAGCAGCATGCTGGGTGGCACGGCCATGTTCATTGGCGGTGGCTCCACCCCGAGCATGACGCCCCCGATGACGCCGTGGGTGAACTGCAATACGCCACGCTACTTCTCGCCTCCGGGGCATGGTAAGTTGATCGTTGTCTATAGCTGTGGCTATGTCGCCGTCTCTGTCTATCATTTATGTTTCCATCTCGCTTTAATTCGAAATTCTCTTCTCTATTTGTCCGCTTTTTGCAGTGAGCGCCATGACACCGGGTGGACCAAGTTTTTCGCCATCAGCCGCCTCCGATGCGTCTGGCATGTCGCCAAGCTGGTCGCCCGCACATCCGGGCTCCTCGCCCAGCTCTCCGGCACCCTCGATGTCACCGTACTACCCGGCCTCGCCCAGCGTATCGCCATCGTACTCGCCGACGAGTCCTAACTACACGGCCTCGTCGCCCGGCGGTGCATCGCCCAACTACTCACCCTCGAGTCCCAACTATTCGCCGACATCGCCGCTATATGCTGCGCCCAGTCCACGGTATGCCTCCACCACGCCCAACTTTAATCCGCAGTCTACGGGCTACTCGCCATCGGCATCTGGCTACTCGCCCACATCGCCGGTCTACTCGCCCACATCCAACTTCCCGTCGAGTCCGTCGTTTGCGGGCAGCGGCAGCAACATGTACTCTCCGGGCAATGCCTATTCGCCCAGTTCCACCAATTATTCGCCGAACTCGCCCTCATACTCCCCGACATCGCCCTCGTACTCCCCATCGAGTCCCTCGTACTCGCCCACGTCGCCTTGCTATTCGCCAACATCCCCTTCGTATTCGCCCACATCACCCAACTATACACCAGCGACGCCCTCGTATTCGCCTACATCGCCAAACTATTCGGCCTCGCCCCACTACTCGCCGGCATCGCCGGCCTACTCCCAGACAGGGGCCAAGTACTCGCCGACGTCTCCGACTTATTCGCCGCCATCGCCCTCGTACGATGGCTCTCCAGGATCGCCACAATACACGCCCGGCTCGCCTCAATATTCACCGGCCTCTCCGAAGTACTCGCCCACATCACCACTGTACTCGCCCAGCTCCCCGCAGCACTCGCCGTCGAATCAGTACAGTCCCACTGGATCCACCTATTCGGCCACAAGCCCACGGTATTCCCCCAATATGTCAATCTACTCGCCGAGCAGCACCAAATACTCGCCGACATCGCCAACGTACACGCCCACGGCACGCAACTATTCACCAACATCGCCCATGTACTCGCCCACGGCGCCTTCGCACTATAGTCCCACAAGTCCAGCGTACTCGCCCAGCAGTCCCACGTTCGAGGAGAGCGACGACTGAGCCGCGGGGAACCCTGGAGGAAGAGGAGGAGGAGGAGGAGGTGGTGGTGGTTCCGAAACAGAGTTTTAGCTAAGAATCAACGCACAATCAGCATGCGACACGAAGGCGAAACTGAAACTGAAACCCCCCAAGAAGCGCACTTAAAAAAAGCATACAATGTACTGGCCTATTGATTGTGTGTGTTCCATTACAATATTCGTTGCTTTTTTTAAGTCTAGTTCATAAGATAGCTCAACGATTTAGCTGCAGCTGCAACTGCAATAGCAATAGCAATAGCAATAGCAATAGCAACATCCACCTATTCGGCCACAAGCCCACGGTATTCGCGGGCCAATATGTCAATCTGCAATGGCAATGTTGCCATAGCAACATCAAACGTTTTAATAACATTCAGCCTGTATCGGGATGGCTGATTGTTGAATAATATAATCCAATTATTATGTAACAAGATATATTTTTTTAGCACCAACTCCGCCGGATGGCGAAGTCATTATCAAATTGTTATTATCAACGCAGCTGCGTTTCGTACACATAAATATAAATCAAGTCTCGTTGTAAGAGTGCAGCAGAGAAGCGAGCAAGCGTCAAGTATGTATTCGTCCAAAGAACATACGACCATGCCACACATGCCACACACACCCCACACCCCACATACATTTGATTACGTATAGATCTATGACGATTGCTAAACAAAATTGTAAATTATGACAGAAACGTATTGAATATATGAATATGGCGATCAATTGCTAAACAAAATTGTAAATTATGACAGAAACTTATTGAATATGGCGATCAATTGCTAAACAAAATTGTAAATTATGACAAACGTATTGAATATACAATCAAAAAAATATCTAAAGCACATTCTTGTTTGTTGTTCGTAAATCGTAAATGAAGAAACCTGTTCTTGTGTGCTGTGTAAATGTCCCTAACAAGTGTCGAATATTTGTGTCTGTAAGTTTGTTGTAAAAATGTTTCAATTATGTGTTACGTATTTGTCGCAGCCTTTGTGTTCAAGAGTTACTTTACTTGCTGTACCAGAATAAACAATTCAATCTAACAAATGGGAACGAGCACAAATTAGAATGGTACAGAAATTAGAAGCGACAATTTTAATGCGTTAGAACCTATGGCTCTTATTTCTGAAAGACTTTTTCCATTGCCTGCACAGCTTTGCTAATTGTCCCCGAGATTTTGTTTGTGGTGTGTAATTGATGCATGTGTTTGCTGCTTCAGGTTGATGTCAGTTGATGACTTAAGCTCAAAAAATAAAATATACAACAATTTAAGTTAAAAAACGGACAACATTTAAATATATTTATTTATGAATTGAATGAAATTTTATACGGTTTTGTATTAAATTAATCAAATATTTAACATTTTGTCCATTTTTAGAATTTTCAGAAATTAGAATCAACCCACAATGTGGTTCTAGTTTGCGAGATTCTGCTGTACCACCCTTGGGGTTCGGGGAAGCACACTTGGGTGGGACTGACTGTCTGTAGTGCTCTAGACATTTGTAAGCTGAGAGACCAATACCCCACACAGGAGTTTGGCAAACAATTGTTTGTTATGAGGTTGGTTTATTCATGCGTTTGCGTGTCGCAAGTGTCAAGTGCACATTGCGTTATCAATATGTTAGCTATGGCATGCAAAGATACTTCAGATTTGGAAGTAATTGTAAACTTTGGAATCGCCATCTATTTCATGCTGCGTGGCTCATGCTCTTCCTCGTTTGACGATTCACGGTCCAAGTGCATGGTCGAGAGTAAGTTAAATGAATCTATTAGTTAGTTACTAAACATTTGTGAGCATAACTTACAGACGTTTATGTCATGTGAATCTTCCTGTAGTCTTCAGGTCGCTCCACACCATCCTCCGATTCGGATTCGGACACGGGCTCCTCGCTGCTTTCTGCGCACGCAGAGTGTTTAAGCACACCCCATCCATGATCCTTCATCAACTGTTTGAGGAAGTTTTTCTCACGCAGGTGCCACTTTTCCTCCATCGCAATCTTGTCGTAGTTCGGTTGAAAGAACTTCAAGTGAACAAATTGTGTTGGATGGTAGCCTGGTTTCACCTTTTGCAGCTCAATGTACACAGTGCGCCCCCTCATGGCATGTTGTATGCCTTTGAGGATCATGCGTGTGTTTACAAAGAACTCATGGACACTACTGAAGTTGCAAGTGGAGGCTCCAGATCCATCTACAGGTCCATCTGCCGGGATGGCCTTGAAGTAAATGCAGGTTCCGTGTTGGACACATGTCTTGTAGGACATCTTTTCATCGACCATCGTGACCTGCAGATGGAGGGCTTGGGGTGTCTGGAAGTATTTGACATTGGGACGCGATCCAGATTGGAGTATAAGAGCAGCATTGCTCGCTGTTATTCCTGTATTGGTGGATAGTTGCTTGCCGTTTGATTTTTTGTTTATTTCTTGTTGCGACTTCTTCTTGGACTCCTTCGAGGGCTGGACTGTGGGGGCTTCAGTCAACATCTGATGGCGATTATTCGAAGCCGTCGAGCGAGTGGCCGTTTGCATATCCTCGATGCGATCCAGCGCTTCGCATCTCATGAAGCAGTCGTAAAAATCTTTCACTGGTACAACTTTCAGATCGGAAGCTTCTGATTCTTCAGGCTGCTCCTGCTCCTGCTCCTGGTCCTGGTCCTGTTCCTGGTCAACAGGCACTGCAGGTCTCTGACTCTGCTTAGGTTCCAGCATGCCGTTGGTCTCTTCCAGATCCATCTTAAGCCTTTGGGCCTCCAGTACAAACTCTAACCCGGCCTGCGGCCAAACGTCTTGTTCTGAGGGTGAGCACTTGCCCATGTCTTCGACGATGTGCTGGTCTTTGTGCCCATTGGCCACCTGTTCCTGTTCCTGTGCATGTTCCTGTTCCTGTTCTGGTGGCTCTTGGGGAATCGTGGGATCGTCCAGCTTGATAAGCTCCTCAAAGAACTTCAAAATCTTCGCTTTGGTTGCGGCACATCGCTTGCTCATTTTGGCCTCGATCTGGGCTCTGAACAGGTTCAAGTGGAGATTGAATGTCTTCAATGACTTAAGATAGACCATGGACGCCATGCATGAGACGAAGATCGTGTGCGAAGTGGAGAAGACGACTTTGGCCTGGACGAAGTGGTCCTTGGGCGCATTATCCAGCCAGTTTTCAACCGTATTCGCGTCTACGCGAGCATAGTACCGATCACCCATGTGGTTAATCATTCCCAGCAGGCGCAGGTCAATGGACAACGGCGGCTCGTTGACGTACTCATCGGGGCAGATATGGAGCGACTTGCACTTGGTCTCGAAACGGCGCGTGTTATGGTCCATTGCCTGGACGAGCACCATGATGGACGACTGGTACACATTTTCATTCTCAATGGGTGGCACACTAAGCACCCGGACACGCTCATAGACATAGCCAGCTACTGCCCCAGGCTCGGGCTTCCACAGGCACACGGCTTGGTGTCTCGGTGGCCAGTAGCGCGGTAGTGGTTTCGCCTTATCCCCACTGAGCCTTATATTCATCAGAGCCGGCAAATTACGGTCAGGGTTTAGACTGTACCATTTACCCTCCATGGGCTTGTGCTCGAAGGCGATCACGCTGTAGTGTCCCGGAGAGTGCACGTGGACCACGTTGACCTTAATGTCTCCCTCACAGGGCACAGCCGATGAACGGCGATCTGATTCATGAAGATAATGACGATCCTCGCATCTGGTATTCCAGCAGTCGCCGTGGCTCAGGATCTCCCCGCACATTGGCTTTGCGATTGTTTTCGTCATGTTTAACTGCTTTCGGATGCGAGCAGCCATCTCCACGATTTTGGGATCCACTTTGTTGCGGAGCAGCATGAAGTCAACCAGACGTGGCAGCTGCCTGGCATTTGTCTCATCCAACAGGGCAAGCGAATCCAGGATCCGTTGATCCTTTGCAGTGGCTGTCGGAGGGGCTGGTGCCTTGGAAGGTTCCAGGGCGTTGGCCACATTGTCGGAAAGAAACATGAAACGCTTCTTGAACCTGCTCCATGAGCTGCTCATGTTGTAGTGGATGATGGTGTGCGCATTGCGTATCCTCAACTCGGGACAGTTGTCGGTGCAGACAAAGATGACGCCCCGACTGTCACACGTCCAGCTGCATACCTTATCGAGCTGCTCCATATCCATGGTCTGGTAGTAAGCCAGACATTGGTATCCGTACTCCGCTAAGGCCACACCCAGCTGGGCCATTTCCACATCCTTATCGCAGAATATTATGGTGCGATAATCTTCCGGCGGGCGCTGACGAAGCATATTTACGATCGCAGCAACCTTGTCCTTGGGTCCGACCATATTGACCAACAATCGCATACCTCCATAGAGAGCAGCTTCCAGGAGATCGCCAAATATCAGGCACGGATATTGATTGAAACGCCGCATCTGAGCAAACAGGGATGGAGTCAAGTGTTGGCAAACCATCAGCACCTGTGGACGTGGATAATGTTGGGAGCCTTTGCGTATTGGCCTACTATGTTTGGCCGTCATGCTTGGAATGTACTGCTGGGCCAGCTTCAGTTCCTCTTGCTGCATCAGTTCCACGTCATCGAAGGCCACTATCTGCAGCTGATTAAGCTTTAGCAGGCCCTCCCCTTGCCGGCATGCGTTGGCAAATCGGGCGGGGGTGGCCACCAAGATGCCTATTTCGCTGATCCACGCGCCCATTAATGTGACAGTACACTCCGATGGAACGGTCAACACCTTTGTCACCCTAATGGTCGACAAGTCCTCCAAGGTCTCATCCTGGGGCATGAGTGCTCTGCATAGGGCGGCCACCTGCTCCATTCGAGCCACGTCTGGAACTAGAATCAGAACAATGGGTCCAATTCCATGTGAGATATTCAACAAGTCATCCGCCATTTCTCTCTTCTGGCGATTTGCGGCCAGAGTCGTACTGGCAGCGTGACAAATCGGCGGCACATATCCCATTGTGCGGCCGCTGCGTGGGGCACTCACAATGAGCACACCGTGACCCGGTCCATTGAGGATATGTGGCCAGGCATAGCTCTGCAGCCGCTGCAGACGGTTCAGGCCCAGTTTCCTCATCCTGTGCACAATATCCGGCAGCATCGAAACCTCTGCGAATGTGCGAAACGGCGTCACATTCACATTTGCATGGGCCACTGCATATTCAGAGCAGTTTGCCCCCATAAGCGGTTGGACAAAATTCTCAAGCTTGAGCAAATTATTATTCTTGTCGTCTGACATTTTGTGGCCGTTGGACTGATCGCTTTTCGGATGCTTCTCAACTTCGTCGATTTGTTTTGGTTCACTACTTTTGTAGAAATGGCCAAGCGGAAGAAAGGATCGGCATGAAGGTGGCTGCGCTGCAAGCTAGACTTGAAATCGATATCAGTGCTTATCTTTCTAGTTTAACTCTAGTTTAATTGTTTAATTGAGTTACAGAAGAGTGCGTTAATTTACAGTTAATTAGTTTGTGTGTTTCATTTAAAAGAAAAAGTTAAAACGAAGTAGACGCCAAGCAATGTTTGGCTAATAAGCCGAGTTGGCATCCCGACACGGACCTACTGCAATCGATAAGTCCGCCAAAACTTCGCGAAATTGTAAAATTGTAATTTTTATGGATTGGAGAGCCAATGTGGCCACTCTTGAATCTCATTGTAGAGCGTCAGGCCGGGACTTTGTGTGCTGATCACCTGCGATCCTGCAATCAATCCGTAATCCTCACTCAGCTCCCCCTGCCTTACGCCGCACGCCAACAGCTGTTTGGCCGCCTGCAGCGCAGCTGGCGTGGGAAGTTTTTCTATAAAAAAGGGAGGGGATCGAAGATCAATAACCAGCCGGTGAAAATACAAGAGAAATGCAACTCACCCCCGTAGTTGCCGATGAAGGCAATGCCCGTGCCTTTGGCGTTGTAGCCGTAAGTGTGGGCGCCGCGCAGACCCCAGCCGGTGCCCTCGTAGACGATCCCATCGCTGCCAATGAGGAAACTGGGGATATGGAGCGTTGCAGTGTGTCAGCTGATGTCTCTGTTTATGCTTACTTGTAGCTGATGTCGTCAAAGTCGAGCTCCGTCTGGTGATAGGCCTGCATGCTCTGCAGAATCGGAGCACACTGAAGCAATCCGCTGCACTCGCCGGTGACCGTGTGATGGATAACCACAAAGCGGATGGGACGCACCTGATAGTGCAGATTCTGCGAGGGCTTGCCGCCCCACTGCCGCTTCAACTTGATCTGCGGACAAATATCAGACCGATGGCGAGCTTCACCGGAGCCACCAGCCACCACCGCAACAATCAGCGCAGCAGCGGCCACGACAAACAGCGTGCAAAGACGAGCAGTGGCAAACATGACTAGCGACGGATGCGAACTGCCCGAACGGGTGCCTTATCAAGCGTATTTATCAAGCTGTTCGAACTCTGATCCAATGCGATCCATTTGGGGGACTCCCGTACCCATCTGACGCTCTCTTCTCACACTCATTTGTGGCGGGGCTCTTTATTGCCACTGTCATTGCAGGCGGCTGAGCAGCTCAACCAACTCAAAAACAGGTTGCTAACTTAACTGATTGTTTGCGGCATTTCCGAGACACACACACACAAAGTACACGCGAAAACGACAAATGTTTCCCAGAGTTTGTTGATGTTCAAGCAAGTACCATGTCCCCTATGCCCCTATACACACTCTTATATACATTTATTCGAACGATTTACAGGCGCTCTCTTGATGATGGAAAGGCTTCAATCGAAGCTGAAGCTGAAGCTGATAACAGGCCTGACGGCACTCACAGTGACTCACATTGGGCCTCTCTCTCGAGAACGTTCATTAAGCCACACAGAGAGAGAGAGAGAAGGTGGGCAAATCTATCAAGCGGAGCTGCTGCACAAGTAAATGATTAAATATTTTACTAGTGTCATGGATTGACGTCATGGGTCTGGATGATGATAAATCCCTTGAGACATAGAGTAACGTTCGGCACTGTGAATCCCATGGAAGCTCATTTAATTGCGTCTGCTGGAAGACTGGCTAGGCCCAAACTCTCACTCTCTATGCCTCACTTGAGGCAGCTTTCGAAGGAATCTCACTCTCAAATGGTTGATTTATTAGTTGCTGCATGGAACAAGAGCGATGTTTGCTGTCTTCCCATCTGTTAAGTGGGTAAAAATGTTCAGTTTAAGGCACATAACAGATTTGCTTATGTATTTCTTTGTGGAACTAGCGTCACATCGTGTGGCATTTACTTATTTTGCATTTCAGAAATTATTGAAAATTCTATTACGGCAATTACCCTCCACCCACCGGCGACATTCTCAGGCTCATCCTGACCCACACCCAGACGGTGAGTTTTTACTGGAAATGCATTAATTGGAAATGTTTGAAATGCCATTCCCTTTCCATGCACATCAGGGCCGGCTGAGCTCCAGCAGCACTTGTGCGTTGCCTGGAACCGATCCGATCCTGTAGCTGTTCCACAGGGTGCCTAAAGCGGCGATTAGACGCTTGAATGGCTGCACAGGGGCCCAACACGCTGTCAACACGCCGAATAAAATCGGCCAACGGACAACGCACATGTTCGATTATGGCGACCAAAGAGCGACCAAGCAGAACCAGCACCCAGTCAGCGCGAGCGAGTACGCGGCTAGTCCACATGGATACCCGGACTGGCTTTGTGCTTCACTGAGTGCGCAGGGGTAATGAGAGATATGCCAGCAGGCGCAGGCGCAGCACAAGGGAGCACCAACTTTGGATGTTAAACTCTGCTCCTGGCACCATTCAGCGTTCGTTCGCATTCCGTGGCTAGTCGCAGCGCGAGACGGAACTCGGCTCGGACAGAACACACAGACACACAGCGTCAGTCCAGGTCCAAGTCCAAGTCCAGGTCGAACTCCAAGCCTCCTCCTTTTACTGTTCATCCTTTTGTGTGTGCTATTTGTTGTTCTTGCTGTTAACGTTGATTTTTTTTCCTGTGCCTGTGCCTCCGCCGTGTCTGTGTGTGTTTTTTTGGGCTTCGCGTGAAGTGCACGAGCGCGTCATGATTGTCAATATGCCCGTCAATGGCACGGGCAGTGTGCGTGCTCCCGGTGTCCATCCAAGTCCAGCTACAAACAACAACAACAACAACAACAGCAGCAGCACCAACAATAATAACAACAACAACAGCAGCAGCAGCAGCAGCAGCTCCAGCGGCGGACACCTCGTTGGAGATGGAGTTGGAGACTGCGAATATAACTTCTTGAAGCGCAAATACGAGTCACAGGTGGAGGTTGAGGGACAGGAGCTGGCACTGGGCCAGGACTACGATCAACTGGAGACGAATCCCTGGAAGAAGCGACACCTCGAGTACGATGCCGGCGACCTGCACTTTCACCTTCAGCTGGAGTCACCAGCAGCCAGCAGCACGGCCAGTGGCGGCTCCGCGGCACCCTCTGCCGTTGCCGTTGCTGCTGCAGCTGGAGCTGGAGCTGTGACTGTATCTGCATCGGCACCAGAGTCATCGGCTGCGTTTATTAACGATTTGTTTGCCTACGACAGCAGCCTGCTGGTGCCGTCGGCCGCTTTTTGCGGCCCACCCAACACGCTGCCCACGACCACGCTGAGCGCACCCCTGGAGGATGGTCCCGGCGGCGGCTGGCAGACGGGCGAGCTGCTCGAGCTCGATCATCGCTACAACTCTGGTCTGCAGGCGGAGATTGGCCAGTTGAGTGCGACGCTGCCGCTTGCCAGCTCCCAGCAGCAGTCCCAGCAGCAGCAGCAGCAGCTCCAGCACCACCAGTCGCAGTCGCAATCGCAATCGTCGGCACAGAGCTTCATGGTGCCACTGAAACAGTCGGGATGTCGGATTTTGCCCACGGGCAGGCGCACTTCGTCAGGATCCACGGGCACGCCATCGACTACGACAGCTAACGATGGCTCGGAGGCGGACTTTGAGGACAAGAATCTGTCGTGGCTGCTCAACTTTAAGTTTGACGAATTCCCCCATCTGTCGCCCCATGGCCAGGGGCAGGGCCAGGGACAGGGCCAGGGACAGGGACAGTCCCAACCGGTGGGACAAGCCGAGGCCGTAACGCCCACAAATATTGTCAGCACATCGCCCTGCAGCTCTAACTCGCCGCAATCCGCATCCACATGCACCACAAGCTCAAATCATTCGCTCAACTCCAGCCTGCTGGATCAGCGGGACCAGCGATCTCCCAAGAGCTGCACCAACGTCCCCCCCATGGGTGCATCCACAGTTGGAGTAGCTGGCGCTGCAGCCGGCGGCAACATAAGCAGCTCCACCAAGACCGGCCGCAAGTTCGAGGAGCTCGTAATGGAAGTCACCTCGGAGCTGGATGGCAACGATATGATAGTGGCCGAGCATGTTGTGGTCGAGGATACAACCTCCAAGGCGTGAGTATAGTCCGAATTAGCAACCAAAGTGGCAGCATCATTAGTGACTCCAGGAAGCTGCCTACACGTCAGATGAATGGCTGCATGTGGAAAGAATTGTTTATGGATGGAATTGCCAAGTTTCCACCCTCCAATTGGGATCCAAATTGATCCATTTACCAGAGTATGTGCTTGGAAACGCTTTCCTTAGGGCCAAATCAGGACTTTAAAACGCCATCTAAGAATGAGCTATCCATGGGTATTACTTGGTTCATTTCGCCCACTCTCTGCCATGTGTGTCTTTCGACTTTTTACAAGCTCTTTGCCAAACATTTTCCTAATATGAAACTTGCTTTCTTCCATTTGCATTTTTCATTTGTGGCGCCGCCAATCGATGCCGAATGGGAACCCCAACGAATCAACGAACGAACGAATGAAACACCCAAATCCCACCCAATCATACCACCGAAACGTGAAACGTAAAACCCGAAACCCGAAACCCGAAACCCGAAACCAACCACCGCAAAACAAGCAGGCCAAAGAAACCACCGTTCACCTACACGGAACTCATCGAATACGCCCTCGAGGACAAGGGTGAACTGACTGTGTCGGGCATATACCAATGGATATCGTAAGTACTCGAATCCCCCAAGCACCCACCCTCCCACACCAACACACACACACACACACACCCCCACAGTAGACTTGATGGACGCCATTTTGTTGGGTCTTGTTCTGGTTCTGCTTTTGGCTTTGGGCTTCTTTTGGGTTGGCTTAAGTTGGGGAAGCGCCAGCCGGATGCAATTAAACAAATCTCAAGAATTTCTCCTGGGCATTCCCGCTGGCCATTTGATTGCTTACCCTCCCTTTTCCCCTCTTCCAGCTGTTTTGCTCCCTTCACAAACAGCGAGAGGCAAAATCCAACACCGAACCCTGCAAACTGCCAAAAGTTTTTGACTTGAACAATTTATGGGCAGAAAAACTGCATTTTGCTTGCTGATGGGACTGCTTAGTGTGTTATTGTGTGCAGGGGGTTTTGGTTGCAACAAGTTGCTGTTGCAACTAAAGTGAGCAGAGCGGAAACCTTTTACTTATGCGGATATATTAGGATACAAAGAGGCAAAGATGTGTTGCCATTGGGGCATACGATTCAAGTCGAAGCTCTTGGGAAATACTTTCCAAAAGATATGCCCACAGAGGTCGGAGGAACTGATCTACATATGGACATATAGGATGTCTCAAATACTTAGCTACTCGTAGAAGTTTATTGCTAAAGTTTCCAACAGTGGCTGTGGCAGATGTTGCAGCATTAAGTGCACAAAGGGTCAAGAGTGTCAAGTGTTTGACCCAGAGGATATCTCTTTTAAGTATTTATTAGCCGAAATTAACGAAAGAAATTTCGTAAATTCCCAATTCTCCCTTTTTACACAGAGAAATCTTTGAATTTGAACTCTTATAATAAACATAATTCAAGTGCATAATTTATCCATAAATTCGTTGCTCTCTGCTTTGGTCTTCACCTTGCAAGATTCTTCTACCGGAAGATTTAACTGGATAATCCATGGTAGAATTACTAACGTCAGCTGAGTGGAGGAGCACCAGTTTATTCACCACGCTCTCTCGGCTCTCAGAGAGGCAAGCGCTAGAGAGAGATAGCAAACGTTTATTAGTAATTTCACCATGATTTCACCATGAGCTGGGGTTCCTGGTGAGAGGGCACTGTGGTGAATCCGTCAGCTTGTTACCTATTTCACCATGGGATAATCAGTTGCACTTCTTCCAGCAACATGTTCGAGCATATTCTAGGCCTTTGCTTTCCAAAGTTATAGTCCTGATATTCCATCCCTGATAACCCATTACCTACTTTCGGTCCCACCCCCTCTTCGGTTCAAATCATAAAGGAAAGCAACAAAACAAAATGAGAGAAAAACTTTTAACACATTTTTCAAGGTTCATTAATTCGGGGCTCCCTCCTCGCCTCCTCGCCTCGCTTATGAAAGGTACAAAACTCATCCCTGCCGCCCGCTCCCCCCCCCTGCTGCCGCTCTGCACCTGTGCCGGTGCGGCTGGTGGGGGTGCCTGAATCAGTGTAAATATTTGAAGCCACAGCCCAAAATGTTGCGTGTAAATATCCTATATAAATGTACATACCCTCTCAAAGGTTTGGTGCGGAGGGGAAGAAAATAATTTATGACATTTGCCCATCACCTGCACCAACCCAACCACCCATCGACAACCGACACACCCATACCCCTTTTGGGGGGGGTCGCGGGTTCATTAAATGTAATGAGCCGACAGTCCAGGACGCTCCTTGCTCCTTGGCAAAAGTTTCGTCTCAGCTCTTGGCTGAGTTCCCGCTTTTGGGGAACTTTTCATTAACCATTCACAAATTTACTTTGTGGCTCCGAGCAGTGGGGGGGTGGTGCCACTGCCACTGCCATCACTGCGCCACCCCATTCATGGCCACGTCCTCGTGGCATTCAAGGCAAAAATAACTGACGCCTGCGCAGGGGCCAATGCCCAGTACATGCGAGTATACCCAATAGCAATTTATTTAACCTTTTGTCGCCCCCGCCCCCGCCCCCGCTCCCACCCGAGCTTAATCGTTTTGCCTGTCCCGGCAATTGCCCATGAAATTTCTTCGCTTGCACATTTGCTCACAATAATTATTAATTGCGGGGGTTGGGATTGGGATTGGTATTGGTATTGGTATTGGTATTGGGGTCTGGACTTCGGGTCCCTTCCGGCTTTTCTACACCTTTTACACGCATCAATGCATCCCGGGTATCAGGTGTTTGACATGCCCATGCCCATGCCCATGCATAGAGTTGAGTGCAATTACCTGCCAGTGGCAGTGCCAGTGCCTGTGCCAGTGGCAAGGGGTTAAGTGGGTTAAGAGAGGGAGTGCTGCAGAGTGCTGGGTAGTGGTGGCATACGGCCGCTTCCGCTCTTCCGGTCAATTGGAAATGTGCATATTGAGTGTTTATGGGATGCGGATCATGCATGATCGATCCCAGGACATGTGCCACATTATGTAGACAAAAGCCACCCTTCCTCCGCGGCTCTCGGCAACCGCAATTGCTCTTAGCTGGGGCACAATCCTAAAACGATCCAGCAGCTGTAGTGCAAACATTAACATAAATATCATTTGAATAAAAATGATTATGGCTGTGTCAGAATTGTATCAATTATCCTTTAAAATTGTATAAAAATAGATTAAATTACTTTTTACTTCTGCATTAATGCACTGAGTTGGCAGTTTTGGCACAAGATTTGCAGTTCAGCGCTCACAATTGCGCTGTTGATTTGAGTTTTGTATAAATAATAAACAAACAATCACGAATAAGTGCAAACAATAATAGAAAATGCCAGGAAAGTTAACGCAAACGATGCTTGACACTTTTCTTTAGTAATTATCTTCAAAAATGTATTTTTAGATGTCTCTCTCTCTCTCTCTCTCTTGTCACACAAATATCAGCTGTTACGGCTGCGCCAGGTGGCTGGCAGAGAGAGAGGGTAGACGCACTGCAATTGAATTTCCTATTTCTGACTAAAATAATGATAGGATCTGCTCTAGATTCGGCAATCCGATTAGTTTGTCTATTTTGTAGCTTAAGCATTTGTGTGGCACATTGCACATTGCACATTCTGTTTCTGATTGTGTTTGGAGGATCATTAAAGGAGGAGACAACCACACAGAAGGGGCGAGCGGGCGAGCTGGCGTTCTCTGTAGGCATCTCCTTTAGCTTCCCTCGATTTATTGCTCCACCTTAAGTCGTCAGATATAAGAAGAAAGAATACACTTTCTGTGCCAGCTAGAACGAGATCCTAGATGGAAGTCATTGGTCATGTGATTACAACTGCCTTGGGATTTTCTATATATTTTTTTTGGTTTTTTGTTGTGTGGGCGTGGCTGGGCCGCATGTACACCCACCCACAGTTCGTAGAAAAATAAAAGAATCGACAATTGCCATTAAAAACTTTTTCATTTTGCTTGAACCAAAAATGAGGCAACTTGGGCTTTGGGTTTGGGTTTGGTTTTTGGTTCTGTTTCTGACTCTGGCCATAAATCCACCAAAATGTATTTTAGTGGCTAGGCGAAGGGGCACCCAAGACGGTGGACGGTGGACGGACGCCAACGAGCCGCAACAATTTATGAACTGACTAACGTTGTGCCATAAATATGCAGAGATACACATACAAAACGTTGGCAAAACTCATTCAGATATACTACACGAAATATATGTATGGTTTGTGGAGCCAGAGGCAGAGCCAAAAGTAGTTGCCCAGTCTGATGATGGGTCCTTGCTGCCATGTCAGAATACAAAAAAAAAGAAAGAAAATGAAGCGCTCTCTCGCTTTGAATATTTACTACAAACACATATATATATATATATATACAGATATATGTATATTGTATGTATAGAGAGAATGGGTGAGGTGGATTGCGTGCCAGGCACGCCCAGACACGAGCGAACCAACCATTTAGTCCGAGCGACCAGCCTATCAGACCTCATCAGAGAGTGCCTGCAATGGGATGGTGGCTGGTGGGATTTGCTGCCTGCCTGCAGGAGACCGAGGGCGTGTGTTGCTGCCAGTCAATTACATTTCAGTGCCCGAGCAGGCCTGGACAGGAGGAACTAGAGCAGAAGCCCACTCCCATTACCCCCATTACCCCACCAGCAAAAGAAGCTCGTAATATTTGTTGTATTACAATCGAAACTGAAACTCAAAATATAAACTTGCATATATTCAGTACAAAAATGAAGATACAAGCATACATATGTACTAAATGTATTTGATAATAAAGAGTGTGTGGGTGTGTGGCATGCCGTGTATTCCGACAATTTCATGCCGAAAAAACCTTTAACCCAAACCCAAACCCAAACCCAAACCCAGGCCCAATCTCAGCCCCCACTGAGCGCGGAGTTAGTCAGTCAAATTCATTGACAACGATGACTCGAGCTGATAGCTGCGGGTATTTGATTTTTAGCAACTTAACAAAGCCACTCAAGTCCCACCCACGAATACATATTCACATACATACATACATACATACATACCATTATCTTTGACGATTTGCCCCGACGCGAGTACGTGCTTGAGGCCGGCTCCCACGTTGACAATTGGACAAGTGCGACGATGGCTTTGGGGATGGAATGTTATGGAATGGATAGATTGGTTGGTTGTGTGGATGGTTCTGGGTTTGTCTGGACGTACATATACACATGTACAATGTCGTTTCTTGTGTTGGCCTGGCCCATCGATTGCCATGAGTTCATGATTAAGCCCAAACAGACATGCAGATGCCATAAACTATTGCAACATCAATGCCTGCGCCAGAGTTTATATTTTATATTGCAAGTGCCTGCTCGCCTGGCCTTAATGGAGCTTTTTGTGGGCAATAACTTAAAGCTTAAAGAACTAAGGAAAAACTGTATTAGACTGTGTAGAGCCTGAAAGTTGGTAGCGAAATTCAGTTGAGATTCTCTGCAACCTCAAAAGGTTGCAAAGGTTATAAGAAGCCATTCAGGCAGGAGCAGTACCATTTGTGTACAAATAAATACATTTATTAGCAGACCAGCGCAGCAAAATCCAATCTAAGCCATGGAATGGTTGGGGGTTGGGTCTTGGGCTGCAGCTAATTTAATTTACCTGCCCCGTCTGCTGCGTCTCTAGCAGAGAGTGGAGTATGGCAATGCCTTTTCTCAGAGAGAGAGAAAGAGAGAGAGAGAGAGAGAGAGTGGAGCATGTCCATGCCTACACCGATCCCGTTATGTCCGTAAGCAATTGCAAGTGCCAAATCATTTGACTTTGCTGTTTGATGCGTCATGACGGGACTGCGTGCCAGATCGCTTGAGGCATGTACATACACACCATAAAATATATATGTAAAATATATGAATATATCCACGGCATTTAGCAATGATATCTGGGGGCACACATCCATTCCTGGGTAGGTCTGGGCTGGGGAGTCGGCGTAAAGCGAGTTATCAGAACATTACCGAGGGGTCATTAAGGACTCCCCCACCCCGACCAGCCCCCTCCGCAAGGAGTCATCCAAACAAGACGGAGCGTCAGTCCGCCATGAATTTCTCTATAATTCATTTCACTTCATTTATGAGTCCAAAACAGCACAAAAAAAAAGGAAAAACTCACCAGGAAAATACACGGAAGAAAAGCGAAAAAACCAAGAAATACACTCAACCCCCCCCTGCTGGTGTGGAGGCCTCCTCTTTTGGGGCTCGCGTGCTGAAATTTTTTTTGGATTGCTTTTCAACTCTACGTCGTGGGCGTAGAATGAACGGTGGAAGGGGGGGGGGGAGTGGCAGGGGGTTGCACTGGCAGTTAACCAATGACATAGCACACAGATCCCTCCATGGGGGGGGGTTGCTTCGTTTCCCTTTCCCCACAAGCGGCACGTGTCTTCCAGTCATCTCCCCCCTCCAACCCAAACCACGCCGAGCCATGTCTGTGCCGTAATTTGAAATACTTTCCATTTTTTGCCCCGAACCCCGGAACCCCAACCAACTCGAGCCACCACCCAATGGTCGGTACAGCCCATACCCTCCCCCAACCCCATGGGAGAGTGCGGAGTGGGGAGCCTGCCCGGCATGGCACGCGATGTCCTTTCCGGTCGTCGTTGTTTCCTCTTTTTACATCTGGGCAAAATGGCCTGGCCGTTGTGGGCCGGGGGCTTGGGATTGGACTGCTTGGTGGTGGTTCCACCTGCCATACATACGACTCCGACTGGGCCTGTTCGTGACTGGGAAAACGGGTGGGGAAAAGGAAAAGGGAAAAGAGAGAAGAAAAGAGAAAAGAAAGAAAAGAATAAAAACGACGCATAATTTGTGCCAGTGGCAGTGGCAGTGCCGCTGTCCCTGTCCATGTCCATGTCCCTGTCAGTGCCCATGTCCATGTCCATGTCCATGTCCGTGTCCGTGTGTGTGCGCGTCTGCCGCAGTGCCTGCACGATGACGTGTTCCATGGAAATTGGCTTTTCCGCCTTCCGCTATGGGTTGGCTGTGCGGAAGAGGCAAACACCTCCTGCTGCTTCGTCTGCCGCTGAAAAGCGTTGCTCAAATTGCAATTGGTCAGAGAATGACCAGAGCATGGGGGTTGCAAATGACTGGCCAATCCCCGGCAGTTGCTGCTTTTCCCATGAACAATGGAGTATTAGCGTTTAGGGCAATATTCATTTTTTCCTTAATTAACACCACAAAAAGCCAATTAATTTTCTTTGTTCTTTTGGCAGCGATCGCTTTCCGTATTACAAGTCAAACGATGATCGGTGGAAGAACTCGGTGCGACACAATCTATCCATCAATCCGCACTTTCGGAAAGGCGTTAAGGCGCCACAGGGCGCTGGCCACTTGTGGGCCATCTCCAGCGGAGATTCCGCCGAGAATGTCTTGGCCTGGGAGCACGTAAGTGGAGTGGAGTGAAGTCTTGTGGTTCAGCTCAGCTCTAATTGAGGTTTTGTTTATTGTTCTTTGTAGAAGAAGCAACGGCTCGATTTGTTCTTTAAAATGGAGTCCATCAATCGGGAGCGCATTCAACAGCATCAGCAGCAGCAACTCCAGCAGCAGCAGCAGCAACAGCAGCAGCAACAACAGCAGCAACAGCAGCAGCAACAGCAACAACAGCAACATAATTGCCACTCGCCGCAACTGGGACAGACACAGACACAGACACAGGGAATAAATCAATCGAGCAATGGCTGCCTGTACGATGAGGCAGCCGTGGCAGCTGCCACACTCACGCAGGAGATGCTGCAACATGCTGCAGCAACGACAAACGAGTCAACGTCAGGACAGTCGCAGTCGCAGTCACAGTCCCAGACGCAGTCGCAGTCGCAGTCTCAACATCATTCCAATCATCAGCATCACCATCATCATCATCATCACCAGAGACTGCTGCCCTTCAACGATCTGCTGAGCGATGACGAGCTGCGCAAGACGGCCGGCCAGATACTTAATGGCATTCATCGCGAGGTGGAGGTGCAATCGGTGAACTCCATCATCAGCACCTACCACGACGTGCTGCTCGACAATGGTGAGTGCAAGTCAATCGAATCGAACGCAGCCATAAACTAACATGGTTTATCTCTTCTCTGTTCTCTCTGCTCTCTCTGTTCTCTCTCTCTCTCGCTTTCCAACCAGAAGACTATCTCAATCCCATACACAAGGATGTTGTCGTTACGGAGAGCGGTCTGAGGCAGCAGCAGCATGGCAGCGTGGGCAGCGGCATACACATGAACAGCGGCAACAGCCTCACCCACTCGCAGTACTACATCACCGAAATCGATCCCATGGAGCTGGGCATACAGATGTCCCACCAAGTGGAACCCTCCGAGGAGGAGGTGCTTTTCAGCGATGAGTTCAATCTCAATTACTTTGGCTACAATCCCGGCAGTGATATTGTCGCTTGACCGCGCAGACAACACTCGGAATTGGCTTCGGTTCCAGTGCCTGTTTCCGTGTCAGCTTCAGCTGCGGCTCCAGCTCCAGCTCCAGCTCAGCCAAGCAATTGAGGTGGCCCAGTGCGCTATGCTCGCTCCATGCCAGAACAACAATCGTAACTGTAGCAGATCCTACTCATAAGCCAACTCTCAACGAAAATACTAGTCACACATTCACCAAAAAACACTCACAACTAACCACCTAAGGACCTGTAGGACTGTAGAGGAACCTTTACCCATCATCAGCGCCCCCCCCTTATGTATAGTCTAGTCTTGAGTACAAATCAAATGCTCAAATCCCATTTTTTGTCTATATTTTAGTTGAATACTAGGTACGTCCATAAATAGGCGCTAAGTAGCTTTCTAGCGTTAAGAATATGTTTATCCAACATATTGTATCCCTCATAGCTCTTTTCCGAATTTAGTTAAGTGTTTCTACAAGTAGTCGAATAAACCCTACCTACCCTACCTAACTAAACATAGGCCTATCGAGCACATACTGATAGAGAGATAGAGATACAACTAAACCTTATTAAACGAACTTGGAATAATGTACTTGGGGTACACTGTTTACCCCCTGCAACATGTCTATCCCCCCCCCCTCCCCC